ATTATATTATTATATTATATTATTATATTATATTATTATATTATATTATTATATTATATTATTATATTATATTATTATATTATATTATTATATTATTGTTGTGATTTTTTACAACGTTTCGTATGACGCGCAGATATGCGACTACGTAAAGAACGATGGTTGGTCAGTAACGAAGGATCCAAAAGGCCGTGTGGGACCGTACGCGTCAAAACGCGATCAATGGGTCAGTTACGACGACGTATCCGACGTGATGAGAAAGGTATATATATATATATGCGATCGAATTTGCAAACATGTATGTTTAATCATCAATCGGTATGCGCGCCTACGTCTTCTACTTATAAGAATATAATTTTTTCGGTGTGACTTTTAATACACATGCGCGTATTTGATACGTATTTTTCGGCTCAGAAAAAGAAAAATATCTATCTGTCTAATTTTCTTGAAAAGTTTGTGTATAATTTTTTACTTATTCAATTTAAAGAATTTTTTAAATTTTAAGTACACCGAAAAAATTATATTCTTGTAATTAGAAGATTTTATACTTAAAAAATCTTCTTAATAATTTTAGATGATATTCTTCCGAAATTAAGAATATATTCTTAATTTAAGAATATAGTCTTTTTTGATAGTGAGATATATATGTTTTTCTACAGAGGCTTTTTATATTCTAGTCAGTATATATTCTTATCAATATTACTATTTAGAGGATTTTTCTCTTAAAATAAGAAACTCTTCTTGGCGCCTATTTTAGTATAAAATATACTTAAAGTAAGTGGGATATCTCTTCTCAAAACAAGAATACAATTTTTTCGGTGTAGATATTTTTATCTATACACATTTCACACAAATTAAAATTTAAGTAACTCTTAAATTTATTTAAGAAACAATTAAATTGCAAAATCCATCCAATTTAATTAGTTAAACGAATTTTATTCTGTCTCAGACCGAACTGATAAAAGAGCTGAATCTCGGCGGTGGAATGATCTGGTCAATCGATCTGGACGACTTTAAGAACCTATGCAACTGCGGAAAGTATCCGTTACTGGCGGCCTTGAATCGCGGTCTTGAAAGAACGCTTGGTCACGCGACGGATTGCACTTGAAACCGCGTAATCGCGAAAGGACGCATGTTTTGCGAAGGACGAGTATCATTGTAGTGTTATCCGCGAAAGCGACCCTTTATTTGACAACTTGATTGTACGTATCTATATATATATTGTAAATATATTGTTATCGCAGTCAAATTCAACAAGAACACGAATTCACTGTGTAATTTTTTTTGGCAATCGAGCTATCTTTTTTTTTAGGTACGAAAAGTGGTATGATATCGAGAGATCAGCTGATATCAAGTCGCGATTGATAAATCACCGAATGTTTTCTCGAAACCCAGACAGCCAAATGCGAAAACTCAATATAAGACAAATCATTGTATAGATTAAGTTGCTCGCCAATTGCTGTTGCGTTGTTTTTATTTAACGCAACGAAAATGTTTTTGTCAATTCGGTATCTCAATATGCTGAGTTTTATTATCAGTCAATTGTTGTAGCCAATGTTTGTGACATGTGAGTCGGCAATATGCGAGCAATATATGAGCAATAATTTTTATTCATAAGTTGAGAAAAATAATATAAAATTAAATAAACGGCTCGATGGAAAATTCAAATAATGGTACACAACCGCGGAGTCTTTGGTCCAGGAAAGAAGTGGACATTCAATATACTGTAAAAAAAAAAAACCAGTGTATTTAGGGACGTTTCGATCATTTATTGTTGATCATCCTCTCTCAGCACTGTTAAATAACAAAAAATTATAATTAAGTACAATCAAATACAATTAAAACTAAAAAAAAATTAAAAAAATGATCGAAACGTCCCTAAATACACTGTGGTTTTTTTACGGTATTTTGAATGTCCACTTCCTTCCTGGACCAAAGACTCCGCGGTTGTGTACCATTATTTAAAATAATATAAGTTTATTGTCGATAAATTGTTGGGAACTTGCTGTATATTATATTTTGAAAACTGTTGCTGTGGCAAGAACATACCGAAAAGAGGACACACCCTTTTGTTACATTGCTGAAAACATATGAGCATAATATTTGTGGCAAGTTGCCAACAACTTGCACTCAGTTGGCTATCTGGGAATATATTGCCAAATAAAGGGTCCATTTTTTAATATATGTATATATCGCAATAGTCACGTATACCAATTGCTCAATATACAAATAAAAATATCGTCACGGCAGATACTTCTTTCTTCGAGCAAGTACTTGCGCGTGTCGATACGAAGAAGTCGTTTTGAGCATCGCTGTGGCTAAGTGATATACCGATATATTAGATTCCGCTATAGCGCCAGATGTTTTCTAAATACGTAAGAGTAAAGTAAATAAATAGATTATCGAATGAGAGAATAAGGTGAAGAATCAATACAGTAAAGTCTCTTCCATTAATGTGTTTTAGGATAATCATGTAAAAAATCCTTGTGCAATTTTAATCGCTTGTATAAACATTCTTCAGTCGGATGACAGAGTTTTGTTTGTAAAGAAAAGTATTTGTAGAGAAAAGAGAGAAGAGAAATATCGGGGCAGAGAGACAAAATATACATATTTTGTACATAAACATTGTACGCATCGACAATAATGCTTGTTTTTATTCTAATATATGCATATTGTCACGCCACGTGAGATTAAAATTCAATAAAGGTTATAATTTTAATGTAAGAAGTTTTGTTTTACATAAATAAAACGAGCTGCAGAAAGTGTGTAACCGTATTAATTCTTTGTGCAAGAAAACGCGTTTATAATAAATATTGTTAACATTGTTAGCTGTATAACATTGTTACTTGAGAAAAATATAACACAAAAAAAGACAAATTAAACATAGATATGCAAATCAATTGCAATTCGATAATGGAACAAAACACATTTAATGAAAGAAGAAAAAAAAAAGACGAAAATTAAGTTCAGGCGTTGACTTGCATCAACACGATCGCGTTTAGGGTAAAAGACCCAATTACTGTCACCCTAAGCTATTTTATTTAAAATATTAAATAAATCCTAAAAAAAGTTAAGCATGAAAAAAATCTAACATAGAATTTTAAGTGCAATTAATATAACAAAAAATCCAGCACTCAACATTCTTGTCTCATTTCTTTCATTTTAGGGGGTGACAGTAATAGCTCGCATCGTTTTTTTTCAATTATTAAATTTATAAATAAAATTAGAGA